TGTGTTCAGCTAATCTATTCCACTTAAATACTTGGAAAATGTCACCCCATTATAACGAGATGGGAAAAGTAGCACGTCGCTGCGTTTGTGCCACCTGCATGAGAAGTGCGGTCGTTTAGCCACCTGTACGCGGCTCTGCTCCATCACCGGCTCCCCTCCTCTGCATAAACAAACATCCCACTCTTAACACGGCCTGGAGAGAAAAAATACGCCTTTATATCGGGAACATGTATTTATCTCTATCTAATTAGTTTTATTAGCGATGTTTTTTTATATCTAAAAGTTGATTTTTAAAATTTTTTAATGACAGTGCCGTTAACCGGAGCCCTTTATAAAACCACCTATAAGCAAATGTTAAAGTCACTGCAGCCACATGCATTCAAAGTTTCCTTTATGAGCAGTATGGGGACATTTTGGCGATGCTATATGAGATAAAATATCATTAAAATAACCCAAACGTGCTTTAAGACTATTAAAAGAACCCGGGATTGATTTATTAAGAGATCAATTCATTAAAAAATAGCACAAGTGTGTCTACTACTGAGTATCATATAGACTCTAGTCCTGGTTCTAATATTATAAAGACATGATCCTTATTTTTCATTGTATTCGTTGTGCGTAAAAGGCGCACGTTGGATGAATTACGCGTGGTTTGGGGAGCAGCGGTTTCCCGGTGAGACGCGGTCACAGCTCCTCGAGCTTCTTTCTAACCCTCCTCGTGGTGTTTTTCTGCCGTGAACAGGAACTGCTGTTTCCTGGGAGAGAAAGAGTCCGTTCTCCAAAAACAGGAGCGCTTCACTTCAGGCGAGCTCCTCTTGCCAGTGCCCGTGTCAGAAGTCATTGTGCAACTCCAATGCGGCCCTTTCAGAGCGACACAAAGGGCAGCCTCTACTTCAAACGCTTGTAATGAAAGCTAATGACTATTAGATGGAGTAGAGGGGCCTTCGCCTTTGCAAATAAAATGCAAAGGAGGATTTTTCTTTCTTTACAATCGCCTACCCTAAAACGCGCGTTGGTCAAATGAAGTGCACTCTCCTATTGGAGCTGGAGGTTATTGCTCTCCATGAGAACTTTCACACCTTCTCTGAGCTGCATTACGTCTGAGCCGAGTCATGTGACAAACGACATTTGAATTTAAGAAACACTCTAAGAGCTGATTACATGTTTTAAGTGTGTTTACAGGTATTTAAAGATACAGTGGACACAATGAAAAGGCCTCTAATAATAATGATCATAATAATACCGAGACTATTATCAGCATCCAGCAGTGACTTTGTCTAACAGTTCAGGTGTAGTATTCCCAAACTATGTAAAAAGCTGGTAATTTTACCATTAAATGCACACACACCTCTTTAAAGAACAAATATCAAACGTTTTCTGCTTCCAGCCTCTCAAATAGGAACATTTGCTGCTTTCCTTCCTCATAATTCATGGTAAACTGAACATCTAAAACAAGCAGATTAATCGATTTTNNNTTTCAGTTTCAGCTTTAGGATTTTAACCAAAATGATGCAAAATATTTCAATTTAGGCTCTTTTGTACACATTTGCACTCAATATGAGGTCTGGTTCCATGTGTGTCAGCATGTATTAGAATTGTTTTAGTGTAACTACACATCAGCACTTTGTGAGTTTCAGTTTACTCAGTTTAATTGGTTGTTTTCATTGAATTCTGAAGCGTTAGAAAACAAAACTAAATCCACTTGTCACTGCTGGTTGATGACCAAAGCTCCACAGTGTTAGTGCGGATTATTTTGCCTGTACTTGACTTATCTTTGCTGACTTTTAACTTATTTATTTGATCTATTTTACGTTGTATTTCACAATGATAATCTCTTGACATCAGGGAATTCTATAATCTATTGTCAGGGAATTTGTGGAAATAATACTGTCTTGTGATGTTTTTCAAAATGGCTCGTTTTGTTTTTATCCCAATCCTCTTTAATTACTGTTATATAAGATGAAGAAACGCTGGAAATCCTCACATTTGAGAGCTTTAAACCAGCATCTTTTCTCCTGAAAAAATATCTTAAATGATTAAAGCAGATGCTGCAGATTCATTTTTGGTCAATCAATTAACTGTTTCAGCTCTATAAAATAAAGTACAAGCCAGCTAAAACACAATCTACCATCTACTGAGGATTAACAAACAATACCTAAAGAGCTAATAAGAGCAAATGAAGATGTGACAGTTGCCTTTCATGAGAAGCTTCAGTTCAGACCCTGTAGAGAGTCTTAACCCAGCCAGCGTTGGCATGTTTCCAGCCGTTAAGGTGCCCTGTGCTAATTGGGACGATGAGCCCGGTGACCCCCGCCCCTCCCCTCCCCAGGACTCTCCAGGTTTTCCCAGGCCTCTGACTGCTTCTTTATTTACCTCAATGGGATTACGTTGGGCCGCGGAGAGCGGAGGGGAGGGGGAGCCCTGATTCCCGGCTGATCACATCAGAAACGGCTCTCTGGGGTTTTTACACAAATTCTGCTCCTTCAGCCCTAATCAGACCGAGCAGGGACACCAGGAGAGAGCAGGCGGGGGGCGGCGGACAAGAGAAAGAGATCAACTCTGTTACTGTTTATTAAACTTCTCCCTTTGATACTGTTACCAGCCGTCTTCTCCCTCTTCCAGCACCTCTGCTGCCTACAGTTATTGGATAGTTAGAGTTGTCAGCAGTCTTTATTAAGTGCAAAAACAGAACTAAATCCCAACACACTAACATTACAAACAGCTATTAGTTAAAAAGGAAAGTTGCATCTTTCTGCTTTCTTCTCTGTTTTGTTCTGTTGCACTTGGAAGAGAGACCTTTATTCTGAAATACATTTTGCACAGGAAATAATTGCATTTAAAAGCGATAGAGCAGAAGAAAGAGGAGAAGGTAGATTTAGTGATTCTGTAGGAGTTTACCTCTACAGTATCCTGTCTCACAGAGACACAGAGCAGTAACCACAGAAACAGACATTGAGGGGAAAAGGGTTTGAAAATTAAAAAGTTTGAAAGCTCTGAAGGTGTAGAAACTGTGTTGTGTGATGTTTGGCTGATTATTATTGGGCCGGACTGCGGCATTGATCTCCTGATTCCATTCATAAAGTTTTCTAGTTCTGTTGTGAATTTTACATTACACAGAATTTTTATATGGTGAAAAATGTCCAATCTGAGGGTTCACTAAGTAATAACAGTAAACAACAAAATTTTTAACGTTGTTAGGAGTCACTATCTTAGACATCAGGTATATATATTCTTTTGATTTTTTACAATTAATTTACAATGACCGTTTATTGTTAAAGCAAAGCACCAGATAAGTCTACATATAACAAATCTATATGAACTTTTTTGCTTGTAATATTCTATCTACACATCTTCATGTACCTCTTTTTTCATTATCAGCATTATCTTAGTAATAGAAGCCGTTAAATATATGTAAACATTTAATCTAATAACTTATTGCAAAGATAAAGAGACGAATGCTACGGCTCTGTGTTCCCGTCCCTTTGTTTTATATGACCAAGTTTCCCCGCAGGACGGGACTTTCAGGTTGACCACCCCAATTAGCTGCTCTGATGGACTCATTTGCTACATCCCAATCCTTTCTCCACGCTGTCTTCTCTCCTGTTCTATCCCTCATGTCTGCCAGGCAGGCTTCAGCGGACAGCGTGAGCCCCTTTCCACCTGGAGGGAAAGACGTGGAGTTTGAATAGAGCAGAGACAGGACACCTGCCGGCGGTGGGTGGGCATGTGGGAGCCCCCGTCCATTGAGGAGCAGTGAGAACAGGCGTATTGACCGTTTAAGGAGATTAAACAGTGAGACCCAGCTCTCTAGCCCCGAGACAGACTGACCCCTACCACCCCGGGTTACAGATATCCCAGCTAATCCCTGAGCTGGTTATTTATTTGCTTAGCTTAAATCAGAGGGGAACCCGAGTCCGTCCCAGACTTCAAGCATAAACGGAGATCAAACCCGGGAGGAAATGTCTTTCCATGTCTCTATCATCGTCAAACTGGGTACAGAGAGAAGCAATAAGGAGAGGTCAAAGGGGAGGATGATGATTTGATTGGGATACATTAGAGAGGAGACTGATTTTCTCTCCTCCCTTCTGGCCCCCAGTACTTAGGATGGATCAAATGCAGAGAATGACTTTCCCTACAGGGATTAATAAAGCATAACTCAACTCTTATGAGAGAAATTCTGATACTAATGTGCAGATTAACAAACCCTCAAGGTTGAAGGCAAACACTTAGTTATTAAGATTTAAATCAGGGTTGGAAAAGTCTCTTCTTATTGTTCGGTTAGCAGAATCTCATCACCTTTTGTGCTTTTACTTTACTTTCAGAATTAAACTGTTCTTCTAATATAATTTGTTGTTGTTGTGTGTAGTTGTAGCTGAAATGAGCCACCAGCTGTTAACTGGAACAAAATACCTGATATTCAATGTAAACCGGTGCTTTAATGGCCCCTGAAAATGTGGTTTCAAATCTTCTACATTTAATAAGACTGACTAAATAAGCCACAATCACAGTGAAAATATAATTACTTACTTATTATTAGTATAAATACACTAAACAACTGAGCCTTATATTATTGTGATTTGAGTCACAGACAGAAATCTCTCCAAGTTTCTTTCACTGGTAGAAAAATGATGAAATGATAGAAGCTGATTCCGTGTTTTTTTCAGGGTTTTTATAGGTTCCATCAGTTCAACTCTTACATGTGCAAATAGGAAATGCAGATTTTCACAAAATGTCGCCTTTAACTTCTGAAACATTCAACAACACTGAATAAAAACAATGAGCAGGACAAAGTTGCCATTAATGTCATAAAATATATTTCTAATATATTTCTTTCGTTCAATATACAAAAACTGAACTCATGAAGTGAAGAGCAAGAAATGTAAAAAAAAAAATTTAAATATATAACTATACATCTATTAAATATTCATAGTTGGAGACACAGGCCTCCTTTCTCAGCTGTATGTACACAAAGTCTTTTCAGAGTCCACCAGTGGTGTTCGTTAGCAGTGGTCAGTGGAGCCATCAGACACATCAATATCCACGTCCAGGTCGGAGAACTCCTCATCCTCGTCCCCTTCATCTCCGTGACCTTGAGAGCCGGGACTTTTCGGCGGGGCAGCCAGGCCCAGTTTGGCCAGCTTGGCCTGTTGCTGCTCCAGACTCTGTTTGCGCCACTTGATGCGTCTGTTCTGGAACCAGACTTTGACCTGGAGACAAAAGAGGAAGCTGATTAGAAATACTGCAGTAAGAACTGTGTGTGGGTCTCTAAGGCTGCACTTTAAACGCCTGAATTCAGATCTTCAGCATCCATGTTCTTACCTGAGCTTCTGTGAGCTGCAGAGCGGAGGCCAGGAGGAACCTCTCTGATCCGACCATGTACTGCTGCCGTGCGAACTCCTTCTCCAGCCGAGAGAGCTGCTCGCTGGTGAAACTGGTGCGCATTCGTTTGGACTTCCCACCTTTGGTTTTGAACGAATGCAGCCCTGCGTTGACTTTGGACATTGAGGCTGCAAAGAAAAAGAAGAAGACACATTTAATCACACTGTCACGTGAATAGGATAGGATAGGATTGACATTTGGACTTCTATGGCTCTGATAGTTCCAGTAAGTGATGAAAACAACTATTTACCTTGTGCGTAAAATGCTCCAGGGCACGATGACTGGTAGGTGAAAGGAGGGCAGCAGTACACTGAATATCCAGGTTGTGTGTGGACCGCTGAGTGCAACATGCCCGGTGAGTAGACGTAAGGTGCTGTTGATATCGGTAAGCCTACGTGTCCGGTGAGAGGCAGAACCGGCGCTGCTGGTTGATATTTCTCCCCGCACAGAGTAGGACTCGTCCGGCAGCTGATTGTGTCCTCCGGCTTGGCGAGCAAAGCATCGATAGTGAAAGATTTCCCACTGGGAGGCTTCGTTGACGCGCACTGGCTCCCCTGGTACTGCGGGTACAGCGATGCTGGTGCGTAATTACGCACAGAGTATCCGTAAGCTCCGACTGGTCTGTTCGGCACTTGCATTCTCCCAGTTGTTTAAAAACACGCTGTTAAATCAGATCTCGAAGGTCTTTCAGGAAGTTGTCGCTCCAAGTGCAGCAGGGAAGTGAATGCTGCTCATCTGCCGACGGTCCGCATTTATACCCCGGCCGGACGCAGAGGTGTCAACAACCCCCCATCGATCCTTTGTCTTTCTAAGTAGCAGATGAGAGAAACGAACATCCCGACAACGTATCCAATTAATTGGTGGAGTAGTACAAGCTGGGATTGTCAAACATCCTAACCCTTTGAATGACAATGCTTTTGAAGAGCGGCGGGGGCAGGGAACTCAAGAGATTTACTGGGCTACAAATTCTTGCATGGATCTTAAGTCCAAATGTAATCATTACCGCTGGGAAAGCCTTGATGTTACCAAATCATCTTATTTGGAGCCTTTTAAGTCCTGGCTGGCCGACAGATGCTTTAAGCAGCGTGACAAGTCGCTTCACAATTGGAGGCCGACTTCAAGCTGCACAACCGACAGAGAATCTGCTGTTGGTTTAAACTTTTATCCTCTTCATTCTGTTCGACGCACTTTTCCAACCAATTTAGGGAATATTCCGGTCTTTATTTCTGCTTTTTCTCAAGCAGTTGCAAACCAAGAATCACCCCTGTATGTAAACAGTCCATAATCTTTTTCCTGTATAAAATGAATGCGCTCTATCTCCAAAGTGTGCCATTTAACAGCAGCGGTGTCGCTCCTAGAATTGAATAAGTGCCCTGCGTAATAGAGGCGTCAAATCCAGCGGCTCGGGTGTGGTGACAGAGTGGTGCTGCTGGTTTAACCAAACTGCAACTCCACTAATCTCAGCCACAGCGTTAATCCACAGGTTGATCCTGTCCCCCATCCTTTGAATGCGGCTGCTCGGACTGGGAAAGGCCTGCGCGCCGGTGGAGTCCTGAAACAATCCAAGTTGCTCTAAAGCCTTAAATCCGACGGTGGATTTATTTATTGTGTATAAATACAAAATGAAATGTGTGAAATAAATGAAAGCAAGTCTCATCAGTCTACTCATAGACCCTTATTCTGAAATACCTTTTACACAAGGAATAAACTGCTTTGTTTTATCGGGTTCTCATTAGTTTGGAGATGAAGCGCTCCGCGGCTTCTTTAAAGGAAGTGATTTGCTTTCTTACACTACCCGAGGACAAAGACATCCTCTCTTTCAACTTGGATTATTGCCAGCTCTGCAAACTTTCCAGGCTCATTTCCATCATTTGGAGGTGGCAGAGAGTTTCTCCCGAGCCTTAAGTAACTGTTAAAACACATTTAAACACCGAAGCGAACCGCTCCTTCCCTTTGACCTGGGAGCGTTTTATTTATCCTCCTTCACTGACACTAGAATGTCTAATGAAGAGGGCAAACACAGACTTTCTCGACCTGCCCTGAACAATAAGGGCGCTTCTTCTGATGCCTGCACGACCCGGACCACCCACCCCAGGGCCCCTGTTTGCTGGCGTGCACCGCAGAAAACCCCTGTCCTGACAAGTCACTGCGTTCACGTTTAGTGTCGAGACCCTTTGTTAAACAGGAACACCACAAGTTTAATGGCAAGAATTCAGATGTTTCAGTCAAATCAGCTTGAAAAAATAAATCAGTAAGGTTCAATTCAGTGAAGCAGTGATAGCAAATCAAAAATAAAAATAAAATGTTATT